TCTTTATATTAAATTTCTAAAAATTAGATTATCAAAAATATCTCTTTTACTATTTTTAATTTTTTTTATAAAATAATTATACTTCTAAATTTTATCATAATATAAGGATTTAGGTATGGATGAGTGTTTTATTTTGTTATTACTTTTATTTTTTTATTTTTTTTCTTTATAATATGTTTGATGAAATTGGATCTATTTTTTATTTTATTTTATTTTTTAATAATTCAATCCTTTATGCTAAATGAATTTCATATACAAAAATAAATCTTCAAATTATGGTTTTAGAAATTGGATTTTTAGAAATACCAATAAATTACAAGGATAGATATAAAATTTTAGAAATATTTTGATTTTACTAAAAAAATAGAAGGTTACATCATTATTTGAATAACTATCTACTAGAAGATTATTTAAGATTAGAATTAGAAACTATTAAAATTAGAAATAATTAAATTATCAAGATTTATCAATTTTTTTGAAGTGAATCAATTTTATTAGTTTTAATTTTTATCTAAAAGGTTTTAAATTAGTTCAATCTAATTTGTTGCCAATATGTTAAAAATACTTATCTTCTCCATCTCTTAATTAATTTGGTCTTTATATTTTGCTCAAAACTAATTGTTAAGGATATGAATCACAAAGAATTAAAGGGTCAATATACTATTGTGTCACTAGAAAAAAGTAGATAATTAATCAAAAATGGTATAATATCAAGACTAGAATGACTATGGTCAAAGACAAAAAGACTAAAGATTCTTAAAAGAAGATTAAAAACAAAAAAAATATTGATAAGAGTGAAGAAGACTTCACTCTTGTTTCTATATATACTATTTTATTAGAAGCTATGTAGTAACATTCAATATGACCTCCAATACGTCTCTAACTTGCAAGACAAGTTTCATATGCACGCCATGTGACAAACTTCTACCACAAGTAGCTAACATGTATAATATGTGGCCAACTTATTAAACAAGTTTTTAACCTATCAATCACTTGTAAACACATATAAAGTTAAATCCGTATCTATGAAGCTTTTAAAAAGCTTTTCCAAAAGATATTTTCAAATTTATTTGCTTCTATTTACTTCAACTTAATTTCTCCAAATTCATGTAAATTTGTATATGTGTGACATTGATCCACCAAAAAAGTGATATTATCTTGAAAATGAATAATCTTTGATTTATGTTTATAGATTATGATTTTTAGATTTCATTCTCCAAAACTTCTCTCAATTCTATTTGTTGAACACAAGAAGCAATTATAGCTTTGATTTATGTTTATGGATTATGATTTTTAGATTTCATTCTCCAAAACTTCTCTCAATTCTATTTGTTGAACACAAGAAGCAATTATAGCTCACATATTGCTTGCACAACATTATTAAGCCATAAATTGACAACATGTTAGAATATGGCAGCCGAAAGCTGTACCACACCGAGGCATACTAACGCTTGAGTTCACTGCCGCCAGTTGCACACCAGTAGAAATGTATTACGATGGAGGAAAATGGGTTTGTGCAGGTGTAGCATTGCCATTCTCGATTGCAGAAACAACTTTGCAATGTGAGTTGTACTTGAATTGTGCAACATTATGCATGCGAGATCTTGATACTTTCATTATTGCCTCATCTCAACCTAAACCAAGTTGCTCATTTGAAGAGATACCTTAAGTGAGTTATCATGCCATCTATAAATTACCATGAGTGCCTCACTGTCCACGTTGATCACGCTGGTATTCCGAATCGCAATGCCTGCCAGGAGCTCGTTTGTAGTGAGCATGGTATCCAGGTTGATTGACTCATTTGTAGTTCTTTTGATTTGAAGTTCAGTTTAGGATAACATTAATCAGTTCCTTTTGAGCAATACACCATGTCTTGCATTTGTGATTTCCTGTATTTGCACTTGTAAGGAGATAAGTTACTACAACCATGTGCAGGTGACCTTGTGTAATTATGCAGGTGGATGGCCTAAAGGACAAGACGGTGGAAGCAAGCGATGACTTCAACACCTTCCACGAGATGGTTGTCAGGAAACATGTGCGTCGATGGGCGATGCTAGATTTGGAGCCCGCCGTGATCGATTGGGTGCGCACTGCCGTTCACCGCCATCTCTTCGACCTTCACAAGGTCAACAGCGGCAAAGAAGACGCTTCAAACAACTTCAGCTCGGGCCACCATAACGTAGAGAAGGACACTGTAATTTAGCGCAGAAATGGATCCGGAAATTGGCAAACATGTGAACTGTTCTGAAGGGATTTGTGGCTCACCATAGTGCTTGTGGCGGCACGGCACGGGCTTGGGGTTGCTGCTCCTGGAGATAGTGACCTTGAGCGAGGAGCAGACGTTCATAATCAAGTTCACGGCGCTAATGTGGGTTGGCTCAGCACGCCCTCTTGGAACACATCGAAGTGTCGAAATTGTGTGAAAACGAAGTCTTTTACGCCATTTTCTGCACAAATTCGGAGATCTAGATGTCGACGCATGGGAACTTGAACAGGGTTCTCACGCAGGTGATGTCATGGGCGGTCTCTTTGCGATTCGACGGAGCGTTGAACATGCATCTCACCAACTTGCTGACGAATTTGGTAATGTATCCGCGGATTCACTTCATATTGCACTCGTATGTGCCTGTGATTGCGGCAGAGAAGGCCCATCACGAATGGTCGTCGGGGTTAGATATGGATAACAGCATGTGTGGGCCGTTCAGTGTGACGGCCAAGTGCGACACAAGGCATGGGAAGCATACCAAATGCACTATGATGCACAAGGCGACGTGGGGCCCAAGCCAGTGAAATCGTCGGTGCTTAATATTGAGTCGAAGCGGGCGATTCAATTCATTGACTGCTCCGCGGCGGAGTTCAGGATGAAGATTAAATATCGACCAGGTGCAGCGTGCAGACCAGGGCGAAAAAACAGCTCGTAAGGTGCACCGTCGTGACTACGACAGCGATCGTGGGGGTGATCTCTCGGCTGGATCATCAGTTCCACCTGATGCACGGGAAGTGCAAATTCGTGCATTACCACGTACGCAATGGGATGAAGGAGCTTCATAAGTTTTCGGTTGCGCACACAGATTTTTGACGCTTCGGAGGGTTTCGAAGAGGTGACCCCGAAGGTGACTGAGGGTCACATCGAAGTCTAAGGCGATAATTTCGAGGTTAAACTTCTGTCAGTTTAGATACGAGCCTGCTCCGTAAAAACAAATCCCAAGTTTCATGCTTTTTGTTTTTACTCGATCTACGGAGTCTGAACTTTGCAGCGAGATGAATGAGGGAAGGCGTGATGAATCACACATTGTGGACCTGAAAAATAGTTGTAGTAATTACTTCTGCATGTCCATATCACAGATTTACGATTTATAAGTAGTGGGATGTGCAACAAGTGGAGGTTGGGCTCGAGTAACGTCTAAAACCCAACAACTTCTACAGGTTTGAAGAAGTTGGGCTGTATTTAGACAAGAATCGAGAAGAGAGACCAAAGGTTGTCGATTTTCGGTGGTTGGGTTGTTAAATTGGTTTCCGAAAGGCTGCACTTCGAAAGAAAGCGGTGGTTGCTTGCTTCAAACTGAACTTTTCCATACCACCGTTTGCAAAAAAGATGATATTGAATATTAAATATTATTCTTAGGTTTATCTTGCTTAAGAGAATTAGAATTTATTTTTCTGTATAAAATTATGTAGTGCACATTGGTGTTGATACTGGTTCGTTTGTCTTTTATTCAAAACTTGCTTTCTCTCTTATTTTATTTTTTTACACAGCCACTACTTAAATCATTAAAATACTCAGCTTCAATCATTGTAGAAACAATTTGTGGTTTCACAAACACCTTTAATGTGTTCTCCACAATTTGTATTGAGCAGATTTTTAAATTATATTTTACTTATTATCATTATATTAAGATTAAACATAATTCTTCCAAGATGAATGTACAAAAGTAACTCCAATAGACATGTGTAATATTTTTAAAGATAGTTTATTACTAAAAAGCACAAAATAGATTTTTATGACATCATATTTAATAAATAGCCAACATTTGATACATATCACAATATAATACCACTCAAAAAATATTATTTTCTAATTCATGAGTATGTTTTGTAATAAAGATTTATTGTTTAAAAGAATTAAGACATGTTGGATAATCTTTTCATATAATTTTTTCATTCAAAATTTTCAAAATTTTCAAAATAAAATACCAAAAAGTAAAAAAAAAAAAAAAAAAAAAAGGAAGTTTAATTTCTATTTTAGTAAAAAAGATACAGGTTCTACTATTACGAACTTTATCATAAATTGTTCAATATACGTCAGCCTTTATTTTTTTTAATTTCATATTGATTTTATTATTTAATGAATTCCTAAATTTTTGAAAATTCATTTTTTTTTGTGAAACTTTATTTCTGAAATCTAAAACGAAAAAAATGACTAGGATTGATATGCAATACTTCTGATAAACATATGTCTGGAATCGAATACATTTTGAAATCTTTCAGAAATAAATAAAAATAAATCTGTCGCTCTAAACATTTAATTGTCTATAAAATTTATGCATGTCCTGAAATGTTGTCTTCTTCTCACTTGTTCACAGTGAGGTGGTGAGATTGGACATTGTCTGTGTAGAAACAAATTACTAAATTTCCACAGTCCGTACCATCTAACTCAACCACTATCAGTGAAGTAAGTCTGTGAATGTACTCTAGAATGTGGAAAAGAATAGATTGTTATTATTGTATTCGGGCGTACAGATTTTGCATCTTTTCAAGTCTTAACAATTACCAATATAAGATATCAAAGGTTCTAGTGAATTATCTCGTATTTATATCAAATAGAAATTAGCGAATACATATTAAGTATTGTCTACTTCATATCCACAATTGATTTCGCTATCAGATTCATCACAAAAGAAACAGGACAGATTGTTCAAGTTTCCAACTCATATTTGGCATGGACAAAGTTTAGAAATGGTATTCAAAGCAAACAATATCAATCACATGAATTTGAGAGGTTTTTCAAATCCGAAATGGGGGCATATGAGAAGCTTTATTATAAGTCACTTGGGTTGTAACCAAGATACATCTTTAATAGATACCCGAAGTGTATCACCAGATATTCAATATTAGCCATGAGCAAAAACGACCGCTACAACGCGTCCTGCTCACAGCGTTCACTCTCGGGTCTATCGGGCAAACAACTTTTTTAGGTACTCCACCTCTTGCACTTGTCAGTAATTTGCCGTAAATGAAATGAAATTCGACTAAGAAATCATGTGAAAAGGAGCTGAATGCAGATAGATTATGACGTAGCGAAGTTTTAGCATTACTCCCCGTCACATAACTGCTTACTCTGCGTTAGAAGACTCACATTAGAGGGCTAAGATTTTCGGCTGTTGATGAAGAGCAACGTCATCCTGCATTAAACATGGAATAAACATACAAAAGCATCCACAAACTCTTAAACATCCAAACATTCAATTAATCATTCACATCAATGTCAGTCTCCTGCTGATGGAATTCGAAGAACATTATCTCCTCGACTGTTGCCCAAAATCCCTGCACAAGCAATCAACGCACACTCCCTTCGCAGGTATTATCCTGATCAGGTTTTAAGGGACTCTCTCAGCCTGCTCAAAGCAAGCACCCCCGGTGCCAAAAAGATTAGCGACAAGAACCAACAAAATCTTCATTATGAGATAAAATAAGACGTACAGGCGATTCTTCTCGGACTTCCTTAACAGAAACTACAACGCTCTAAACCTCGGAACAGTACATACCATACAAGCAACCCACCCGAACCCACAGATTACGCCCTATCGATAGTATTTGTCGATACAACCTTGAACTAGATACTTACACATCTATAAAACATGACAAGCTTCCTCGGTGATGTGTAGTTTGCTGCACGACAGAAATCATTAGCAGCATCAATCATCTGTTTCGAGAAGTCTAAGCGGATGCAGTTTCGTCATCTGTAGATGCTAACACCAATTCAGGGTGGACATTAGGCTTGTAGTTCCCGTCAAGCTCATTGGGAAGGCCCAGCGCCTTCAGGGCCAAATGCGCCGCCTTCTGTCCAGATATCATCATCGCTCCAAAAGTTGGCCCCTGATCACCGACAAATAGGTTAGAAATGATATGAACAAACGAGTTAATGCTCAAGAATTGCAATGCAACGGTTGCAGGTTAGGAAGGAATGTACAAAAAAGGAAACAGAATAGACAGCAAATTCAACCGCACCATTCGTGGGGACCCGTCGATCTCGGCCACCTCCATTCCCGTAACAATCATGCCAGGCACCACCTCCCGCGTGTGCTTCACAATCGCGTCCTCCGCCGCGTTCATGTCCAGGCACTTCATCCCGGGCACGCTCTCGATCATCCCGATGCTCCGCAGCCTCTTCACTCCCGTCGCGCCGAACGGTCCGTCGTGCCCACACGACGACACCACCACCTTCGCCTCCATCACGTTCGGGTCCATGCACGACTGTGTGTTGTGGTTCTGCGCCACCAGCGCCCAGTTCGTCACCACGCCGGACACGCGATCGCCCCGGATGATCAAGTCCTCCGCCGCCACCGCGTTGAACAGCTTCACGTTGGGCCGGGCCAGCAGCTTGCTCATGATCGTGGATGTGAACAGAGCCGCGTGCTTGATCACCACGTAGTTCTCCAACTCCTCGTAGGGCACCTCAATCTCGTCCAAGAAGCGGTGGGCCGGCTTGCGCACCACCATGGCCGAGAACAACTGCCCGCCCAACCACGCGCCTCCTCCCGGCGACACCGACTGCTCGATGATGGCCACCTTCACATTCGGGTTCTTCGACAGCTCGTAAGCGCACGACAGGCCCGCAGACCCAGCTCCCACCACCACCACGTCGGTGTCGGCGTGCGTGATCATGTCAGTCATGTAGCGCCGCGTCATCTCGCGCGCAACGATGGACTCCTTGATGGGCTCGAACTTGTAGTTGTTCAAGTCGTACTTGGCATCGGAGTACATCGACGCGCTGGCGGCCGGTAAGCGGGCGTGCCTGAGTTGGGCCTTAGGCGAGGCCACCATCCTGACGCCGGCCAGGGAGCTGGAGGACGATCCCACATTGCTGCTGCTGATCTTTGGGGCGAAGGCAACTCCTGCAGCAAGTCCCGCAGCCTGCATGCTCACGGTCGCAGCCATTGTCTTACAAGCAGAGAATTGGTGTCAACACAATGCAGAAGCAAGAATATAGAGCAGCGAAACGGCTAAAACAACACTAGGAGCAGAGGAAGGACGGTTAACACGGAGAAGAATAATAAGTCACAGGACCAGATTACTGGAAATGACGGCAGGGATCGAGTTATGTAGGGACTGGCAGAAGATGCTGACAAACCGAGAAGATGCTGGATCAGCTTTTAGCGATTTTTCGAATAGGGACATGAATTTGGAAACTGGGAAGGGACAGCGAAAGATGGGTGCTAACGACATGGAGGAGAAGATTCCATTTATAAGGAGGAGGATAAAAAGATGAGGATGAAGGAAGTTTCATCTCAGGATCACTTGCTTTGATGCAAAAATGGAATTTGGGGAGAGAGAGAGCCTTTTGGGATGGAAGCACCTTCTTCACTGTTCTACGAGAGCTTCAATCCAGCGAATTTCATTCCCTAATGCTATCCAAAATTTCGTGTTTATGTCTCAATTGTAATCAACATTATGGTTGTGTGGTAGAGGATGATGTGTTAAGAGGAGAATTTCTTCTGGAAAATTAAATTTTGCTTGATTTGTTTTCGTGAAAGTGTCAAATTTGTGGGCCATGCAGCATAAATGCTCTACAATTCAACTTTTGGGGTTTCAAAGATGAGAAAAAAGATCTAAAAGATATTTTGAGACTCTTTTTTTCTTTTTCTTTTTTCTTTTGTAGACACGAGTTCTTCAAAAAGTTGCATTGTGGAGTGATTTGTCGTATAGAAAGATTTTCCAAAAATTAGTCTCCAGTTCATACTCTTATCTTGCTACTATCGATTGTTTATATTTTCTTGCATAACTTGTGATAGATGAAGAACTCTGTAAGGGTCATATATAAGTGTTGTTTCTTTGAGATGACTCCAAACTAATGCACTGCTACAAATATAATGGATGCATCTAGCACTCCTACTGATGTACTAATTCTTTTATTCCTTTGCTCTTTTTTATATTATTTAGCCAAAAATATTTTAGATGGTCTCAAATTAGGGTTTAAAAAAATTAAAAATGACATTTTTTTTTTTTTTTTTTTTTTTTTTGTATCAGATAAAGTTTCATAACATATTCTAAATTTACTTCCTTGTAGTGTACAATATTACAAACCAAGTTTTCTAATATTTATTTTTAATTATAATTTTATAAATCTAGTTTTTTTTTATAGTTTTATTTTTTTACAATTGTTTTAGTTGTACATTAAATTATAATTCGTAATAGTTTTAAGTTCTTACTGCTAAAATCATGTCATATATATTACAGACAAGAAAAAATTCAGTCAAATCATTTTTTTTTTTTTTTTGTTATGTGTATCATAGATATTTATACTATTTAAATTATAAAATTCAACAACAAAAAAACAGAAAAAAGAGTTTAAATAGATTAATTAGATTTATTTTATTCTTAAACATAAAAGAAGTTTCTTAGATTTTTTTTAATAATATACAAAACTCTTTTGGGAATCTCCTAGAGCTAAAAAACTACTATAAATTATCCTAAAATAAAAGCACTTGTCATTTAAGCTTTGTAGTCCTTAGATAGCTTATACATGGTTTTTATTTTAATTGGTTAAAATAAATTTAAAATTGAGACTTTCCTAAGGCTTATCAATACAATAAAACTTCATTAAATTTTAATTTAAATCTCTCTTGTACTAAATAATAATAATTATATATATATATACTACCTTTAAAAAATTCAAGGTAAAATTAATTATTTTATATTTTGATAAGACTTATATATACATTAAAGTTTTGATGCCATTCAAACATCAAAATATTAAGAATAATAATGATCATCAAAATAAAATATACAAATAGATAAAAATAATTTAAAAAATATATTTAATTATATCATAAATATAATAATATTATTAAAGAACTTGTGCAACCAAATTCTTACGTATTATTATTATTATTATTATTATTATTATCATTTTAAAATAAATAAATATTTTTTTATTCAATTAAAAAATTTAAGATCTAAAATTTATCTAAATTATACTTTTGTTGTAACAAATTGCATATCTATGGTTTATACTTAAAATATTATAATTTAATAATTTATATTTATTGCTATAATACCCTCATAGGCTTAGATGTTCCATAGACCATATAGTTTATTTAGTAAAATAAACATAAGATACTTAAAGAAATTTTAAATCTTATTTTTATTTCTTTATTTTTAGTTTATACACACACACACACACACACACACACACATATATATATATATATATATATATATAACTTATTATAAAAGAAAAATAAATAACCAAATAAAGAAATAAATTTTAGTACTACCCAATAGTATTAAAGTCTGTGGCTTGTATTTTAGACTTTTTCTTTACTACATAAAAGTAATCTTTGAAATACTATATTCTTAGTGTAACTTATTGTAGTTATAATTTTTTAATCTTGCATCATCTATAAATTGTATTACTTTGTCTTTGAATTATGATGCATTATAATTCTAAATCTAATATTTGCTATAGTATCTTCATTTTGATTCAATTCAAACAAAAATTATCTATCTCATGTATGCTTATTGCTAATAAAAGAATAAAAGAATAAAGTAAAAATACTACAACAGTAAGTATATTTTTATTACAAATTTTTCTTAAATAAGGTTATCAAGATATCTAATCAATTTAATTTTCTACAAATAATAAAAAAATTAAAAATTCTAAAAGTATATAGCCATGCTAGCACTTCATAAAAAAAAAAACATCTTAACTATTCTTTTAACTATAGTAGATATAAGACTAATTTTTAAATTAGATAATTAAATAAATGAAACTACTTCTACTATATTTATTTTATTAAAGTATATAATTTTTTTTGTGATACAATTTATAATATACTAAAAGAAAATAATTTTATAAAATATTATCTTTTATTAATTATGAATGTGGCCTTTCAATGGAATGAGTTATTTTAATAAAATAGATTTAAATATAACTTAAATAAAATTAAAACTACTTTTAATTTAAATACTTAAAAAAATGCTCATAAGTATCATTAGTAATTGTGATTATCTTAAAAAATACTTTTAGTTGATATATCTATAGTTATTTCTCAACCTCATCAATAAATTATTTAAAATTATCTAAATTTTATTTTATTACAAAACTAATGTATTTCATATGTCAATATGCTTATTTTTAATATAAAACTTGGAATTTTTTGTTATTAAAATTCTACTTTGATTATCATAATATATGATTATAGGAGTTGATTGATGATTTAATGATGTAAAAATGAATTAAAAAAGCTACAAGACTTTTATATGACTAGTCCGATTAACAATATAATTACCATATAAATTGAAATGATTTAAGATAGATTTAAGCGTATCCATATTATTTGCTTAATGAATATTAAAATTTCATATAATCTTAAATGTTATAGATAATCTTTGTTACAAGAGACCTATGCTTGATATTACTTTTAAATTCTATCTAATCCTTTTAGGTGAAATCTAATAGTTATGACTTGAATTAGATAAGAATTGAACAAATGTAGTAGTTGCAAATAATATATTAGGTTGTATATTGAATGAAACATATTGAACACAACCAACTATTTTTTTCATATAATATGTGGTATTTTCTTAATATCTTCATATGATTGAAGATAATCATGTGTGCTAAGTATTTGTCTTGATTCAAAAGATGTAGATAGAAGATGATTAAATTAAATTTTAAAATTTATTCATGAAGATAATATATATCTTTTTAAAGAAATCTTTATATGTTTTGTCTTTTTTTATAAATAGTATCTACTCCTACTATAGTATTGCAAATATTAGATCATAAAATTTCTATGTCAAACTTAAATAATAATATATATTTGATTAATAATATAAAATTATATGAATTATGAGTTATTAATAGAATCTTATCAACATCAATTGCTAAGAAAATAATTTGATTTAATTAGCTTGTACATATTAATAATATTTAATTTATTTTTAATAAAAATTATTTTAGCCTAAGTTATCAAATATGTAAAGATTACTAATGATCATAAAAATATTTATTTAATTTAAATACAATAATTGATTTTGGTGGAACTTAATTTTTTAAAAAATAATGTCATCTACACCTCTTCTTGAAGTCTATTATTGAAAAATGTTGTCCGTACATCTATTTAATAGATGTATAAGTTAAAATCAACAACATAATATAATAAAAATTCTAGATATGAAGCCTTTAAAAAATGAAAAATATATATATCATAAGAATTATTATCTTCTTGTTGAGTGGAACCTTGAGTAACAAACTTAGATTTATTTATTTTTATATATACATATATATATTTAAATACTTTTATTATTTGAATCAGATTTTGTTTTTAAGATCCAGTTATAATCAATCATATTACAACTGGGATGTAAGGGATATAAAGTCTAAGTATTATTCTTTTGTAACAATTTAAACTCATCATTTATAATAGGCTTTCAAGTTGTTGAGCTTTGTAATGCTTTTTCATATGTTTGAGGATTTGAAAATATTGGATTATATAAGCTTTTAAATACTTTCTAAATTAGAATAAAATAAATTTATTAGTTGCAATGCATATTTTTTTAAATGTGGTTGTTTTTTCAAAACAGATGGTAATTTAGACTATTTATATTGATGATAATTTTCCATGGTTTCAATAAGTTGTTGGAAACATTTTCTTATTTTTTAAAGTCTAAAAGGTTGATTTATATCAAAATTGTTGTTACTATCTGAAAAAAGAGAAGGTAGTGGTTGAAAAGTTGTAAATGGATCAATTGGTTTTAATAACTAAAGAATAACATTTGGCTTATTTGGCTGATTTGGCTATTGTACAAGTGGAGATTGTATATATTGTAATAGTGATAGATTTTTAGAAGTTAGGAGTTTGATTAAAAAACTTTAGTGATAATAATTGTATATAAATTTTAATTCTTATTTTTTTGGAAGGATTTATATGCAAATATCTTTAAAAAATAATTATAAATGTATTTTTTTTGAAGTACAATCTATATCCCATTATGCTTGAAGTATAGCAAAGAAACCAATACCCAATACTTTTTGTTAGGTATGATTTATTTTTTCTTGGTTTTTGGTAGTACTAACATAAAGGTTGTAC